GCAGGAACTTTAGTACCTACTGACTTACATCTCCTTTTTTCCTTGCTAAAGAGATGTTGGTGCTTCCTCTCTCCTCTGTTTTTTGATCTCGGTTTCTAAAACATCTCTTCCTGAGTTATATCCCATCCACATTCTTGGGTTTCTCACCCTAAAAGGATCCAGCTATTTCTGGAAAGCTCCCTATGGCCTGCACAGGTCTGTGGGTCTCTCCTTCTCTGAGCCCAGCTCTGGCCATGGACCACTTAATTCAGTGTATTGGCTTGTAGTGCATCGGTGGGGTGATTCTTTGCCTCCATTGGCTCTGGAGAAATCACAAGTTTGACTTTATTGGCTTTTTTCATATCCATTTTATTAATTTCAACCTGCAAAATTTCAGCAACTGGGGTGATAAGGTGGACAAAGAGATGGTGATGCCATCTCCATGGCAGGGAAGAGGAGCTCCAAAGTGAGAGGCGTCGTGTCCACCTGCCCAGGGTAGCACAGAAACTCTGTAGTGAAGCAGAAGGCTAAACCCAGGTCTCCTCTAGGTTGTGTTACTGCAAAGCCACCATGTCCCACATCTGCTCTCCAGCCCTGCCCATGGGTGGCTCAAGTTGGGTGAAAATAGGATTTCCGAGACTATTTTTGGTGCGTCCAGATGTAGGCTTGGCTGAGAAGCAAGGGGAAAGGAGGCGGCAGAAAGGGAGAGAAAGAAGCTGTTCAATGTAACACTGGGATTACAGGAGTTTCACTCTCTGGGCATGTTGAGGCTGGGGCTGTCCAGACCTGTCATTCTCTCCTGCCTTGTGGATCTGTGCTGCCCTCATCCCACGGGATGGCGTTTCTGCCTCTCTGGGCACTGGAGTTATTTTAAAAGAAAACAGCTTGCTTGTTTTCCAGCCCAAGTTGGCTCGGCCAAGCTCAGCCCCTCTAACCACATTCTGGGCATGTATTTTTGTCCTCCAGACTTTGCGAGGCATTTCTTGGGGTTGTTTGTCTGGTTCTTGCTGGGAGTGATGGAACATGATAAAAATAGAGAGGAGTCCCTCTCTATCTAGGCTTAGGTTCATTCTTTTGAAAAGTTCGCAGTGCAAGCTAACACAAGGCTCAGGACACCCAGGCAGGGTCTCATTGCCAGAGCAGGATACCTGGTATGGCTTGGAGCCATCCATGGGGCCTGGGTGATCGAATACGTTGCGTTAGGGTGGCTTCCAGCTCACCCTTGGGCATGAGCTGGAAAATATGGATGTTAAAATATTTAAGAAGCTGTGTCTCCAGCTTCAGTGCAGGCTTCAGGGGCTAAATTTGGTTGAAATAGGAAGAGCAGAGTCCCCTCCATCATCATGTTGACTCCAGAACCTGGGGCTTTAATTAAAATATTAACCATGATGCGACCAGCACCTCAGTTTGAGAATGGGCAACACTGAGTCCCATTCCCCCAACACATTTGGCGATGCCAATGTGAAGGGAAAGCATTGGGCTGTAGGACCCAGGTTTTGTTTCGCAGGCTTGTGTACCACGTCGGAGCATCTCTGAGTCGGTCCTGCAGCCAGGTGGCCAGCATCTGCTGGGCGTTTGTTGTGTTATCCTCTCCTCTGGGAGTGAGATGAGCAGCTACTTGTGCTGTTTTGTCTCTGCTAATTTGAGAATGTGTTGTTTTGCCTTCCTGAGGTAAGCAAAATGCCTTTTGCACGCGATGGGGAGGTCTGTGATGGTTCCTGGAGGAGTTCATCCCCATCGCCAACGACCCCCATGAGAAAGCACTGCTAATGCACAGCTGAGCTCTGCCCCTCTTGCAGCAACACCACTGGCAACCAATTTAGCTTGTTACTGGTGTGTTCAGCTGGTCTGGAGCCTCACCATGTGGTGCCTTGACGATTAGGATGGTG